TGCCGGCTTGGGGAAAACCCAGAATGCTGGTTTGGGAAAATTCTGGAGTGCTGGCCTAGGAAAATCCTGGAATGCCGGCCTGGGAAAATCTGGAATGCTGGCTCGGGGAAAACCCGGAATGCTGGTTTTGGGAAAATCCTGGAATGCTGGCCTGGGAAAATCTGGAATGCTGGCCTGGGAAAACTGGGAATCTGGCCTGGGAAAATTCTGGAATGCTGACCTGGGAAAACCTGGAATGTTGGCGTGGGAAAAACCCAGAATGCTGGTTTGGGGAAAACCCGGAATGCTGGCCTGGGGAAAACCTGGAATGCTGGCCTGGGAAAGTCCTGTAATGCTGGCCCCAGGGGAACTGGGAATGCTGGCCCGGGAAAATCCTGGAATGCTGGCCTGGGAAAATCCCAGAATGCTGGTTTGGGAAAATTCTGGAATGCTGGCTCGGGGAAAACCCGGAATGCTGGTTTGGGAAAATCCTGGGATGCTGGTTTGGGAAAATCCTGGAATGCTGGCCTGGGAAAAACCCGGAATGCTGGCCTAGGAAAATCCTGGAATGCTGGCCTGGGAAAATCCTGGAATGCTGGCTTGGGGAAAACCCAGAATGCTGGTTTGGGAAAATTCTGGAGTGCTGGCCTAGGAAAATGCTGGAATGCCGGCTCGGGGAAAATGCTGGAATGCCGGCCTGGGAAAACCTGGAATGCCGACCCTGGGAAAAACCCAGAATGCCGGTTTGGGAAAATCCTGGAATGCTGACCTTGGGGGAACTGGGAATGCTGGCCTGGGAAAATCACAGAATGCTGGCCTGGGAAAAACCTGGAATGCCAGCCTGGGAAAATCCTGGGGCATCAGGGCTCGTCCTGCCTTAGGGCCTTAGGGTTGATCATGGAATATCCCAAAGGAATGTTGTAAGGGATCCCCAGGGATGGACGACTCCAAACTCCTGGCCCTGCCCAGGACATCCCAGAATCCCTCCCTGAGCCTTGGGAACGTTGTCCAAACATTCCCTGAGCCCTGCCAAGGACCCCCTGGGGCCGTGATCTTGGGATCCTGGAATTACTTAGGTTGGGAAAATCCCTCCAAGGTCACGGAGCCCCCCTGGCTCCTCCAGCCCTGCCCATTTCCCCAGGGATGGTCATTCCCTTCCAGGGATGGGGATCCAGGGCTGGGCAGCCCCTTCCAGGAGGGATTTTCCCCAATATCCCAAATAAACCTCTCCAGGGATGGGGATCCAGGGCTGGGCAGCCCCTTCCAGGAGGGATTATCCCAATATCCCAAATAAACCTCCCCAGGGATGCTCCATCCCCCAGGGATGGGGATCCAGGACTGGGCAGCCCCTTCCCAGCAGAGATTTTCCCAATATCCCAAATAAACCTCCCCTGGCACAACTTGGGGCCGTTTCCCCTCGTCCTGTCCCTTGTTCCCTGGGAGCAGAGCCCGATCCCACCTGGATCCACCCTCCTGTCCCCCTGGATTCCCTCCTGTCCCCCTGGAATTCCTCCTGATCCCCCTTTTCTCCAGGCTGAGCCCCTCCAGCTCCCTGAGCAGCTCCATGGAAGTTCTCCAGCCCCTTTCCCAGCCCCATTCCCATCCCTGGACACGCTCCAGCCCCTCCCATGGCTCTCCAGGGCTCCAGATCCTGTTGGGAACGGCCTTCCCTGGGCCTGTTCCGGGTCACAATCCCAATGGATACAATCCCTGTGCCACAGACACACAGCCGGGCCGGAATCCGCCGCATCCCGCTTTTCCAGGCCGACATTCCCAGGGTTGTGGTGCCTGGGAAATCCGAGCCCGTTGGTTGGGATCCAATGGGCTGCACAGGGCCTGGAGAACCCACGGAATCCTCATGGATTCCCTCTCTGGATCCCGTGTCCGTGTTCCTGCGGCATTCCCGGCCGGAGCCATTCCTGGACGGAGCCATTCCCAGACGGAGCCGTTTCCATTCCCATTCACTCTCTCCCTCCTTCCCAGCCCGTGAAGAAGAAGAAGATCAAGCGGGAGATCAAAATCCTGGAAAATCTCCGGGGGGGCCCCAACATCATCAACCTCCTGGACATCGTCAAGGATCCCGTGGTAAGGAACCCTCGGGAATCCTCGGGAATCCTCGGGAATCCTCGGGAATCCTTGGGAATCCTCCGGGAATCCTCCGGAGTCCTTCCCACCCCAAGCTGGGTGTGACTTCCTGGCAGAATTCCAGAATTCCGTGCCCGTCCCGGCATTCCCGAGGCGCTGGGGGGAGAGGGGAGGGATGGAGGGAGCGGGAATGTTTCAGGGATTGTTCCAGAGGGAGAGGTCCGGGATGTCCATCCCAAAAAACTCTGGGAGTCTGGGATGCCTCTGCCCGGGGGATTTGGGGATTTTGGGATTTTGGGGATTTGGGGATTTGGGGATTTTGGGGATTTTGGGGGCTGCTGCTGCCTTGGGAAATGTCAGGGAGAGGGGTGGGCAGGGAGTGGGAAATGGGAAGAGGTTGGGATTGGGATTGGGATTAGGATTAAGAACCCTACAGAAACCCTACAAACCCAACCCCTACAACCCCCAACCCCTACAAACCCAAACCCTCCAAACCCAACCCCTCCAACCCCAAACCCTCCAAACCCCAAACCCTACAGAAACCCTCCAAACCCCAAACCCTCCAGAAACCCTCCAAACCCCAAACCCTACAACCCCAAACCCCACAACCCCAAACCCCACAACCCCAAACCCCACAA